ATCAGAGATGCGAGGGCTGCCTATTTCTCACACTTAGTTACACGGAGCAGAGGTAATCCTACAGTGCTATTCAACACCATTAGTGACATTGTTCCTCCTGCTCTACCTGCGGCTCCTATTTCATCTAATGAGGACTGTGAAAATTTTCTTTCTTTTTTGCTTGCAAAAATTAATAACGTGAGAATAAATTTTTCACATTCAGCACCTGTTATTCTATCTCCACCCCATCTTGGCCGTCATCTTGGATACTTTCTCTTCTGTTTCACTACCTGAGCTGGTAAAACTAGTGAATTCAGTGAAAGCATCCTCCTGTTCACTTGACGTTGTACCTGCATTATTATTCAAAAATGTCTTTCAGTCTATTGGTCTATGTGTGCTCACTTTAATCAACTCTTCACTGGCATAGTGCCGGTTTATTTTAAAAATGCTGCTATTCTCCTACTTTTAAAAAAACCTCAGCTAGACCTCTCTCTTTGGAACAGTTACAGACCAATTTCTAAATTACTGTTAATCGCTAAGCTTCTAGAAAAGGTTGTGGCTAAGTAACTTATAGCGGGTCTGGACAAACATAGCATTTGCGATAAGTTTCAGTCTGGCTTTCGTAGAGGTCACTCCATGGAAACAGCCCTTCTTAGGGTCTCTAGTGACATTTTGATGAGTAATGATGCAGGAAAATGCTGTGTTCTACTCATGCTGGACCTCACGTTGGCGTTTGACACAATTGACCACCACATTCTCCTTGAACGGTTAAAACATTGGGTTGGCGTATCTGGAACTGCCTTAGAGTGGTTCTGCTCATATCTACATCACCGATCCTTTTCTGTGGTGGTCTCCGAGTTTAGGTCATCCTCTACATCCCTTACTTATGGTGTCCCTCAAGGTTTGGTTTTGGGGCCTTTATTGTTTTTAATATATCTTCTCTCGGCTATCGGCTCTTTTGAGGACATTTCTTATCACTGTTATGCTGAAGATATTCAGTTGTACATTTCTTTTAAGCCCCATGATTTATCTATGCTTCAGCTTCTGAATGACTGCTTAGATTTGATGAAACGTTGGGTGGCTGCAAATTTCCGCCAACTCAACGAGGGGAAAACTCAAGTCCTTGTATGTGCTCCTGACAGATTTTTATCCCAGATAGTGAAACCCCTGGTCCTCTCTCAGTTTATGTTAAATACTCTGTCAGGAATTTAGGTGTCACCTTTGACTCGACTCTCACATTGGATGGTCATGTTAAATCTCTGGTTCAGTCTTGTTTTTATCATTTAAGAAATTTGGCTAAGTTATGCCCTATTTTATCTCACTCTGAACTGGAGATTGCTATACATGCATTTATTTCCTCATGCTTGGACTATTGTAGCTCACTGTTTATGTGTCTAAGCAAAGGTTCTCTGGACCGTCTGCAGGTTGTGCAAAACGGTGCAGCTAGGCTTTGGACAAAATCCTCTAAGCATTCACACATGACACTGTTGCTATCTCAGCTACACTGGCTTCCTGTTGAATTTAGAGTCCGATTTAAGATCCTGGGCTTGACTTTTAGAGCTTTGTACGGATTGGAACCAGCCTACATCTCTGATCTGCTACAGCCCTATGGCCCTAGCAGGTCCCTGAGGTCATCTGATCAGGGCTTACTTGATATAAAACATACTAAAATGAGAACTAAGGGTGATAGAGCTTTTGCCATTGTGGCCCCTAGACTTTGGAACTCTCTCCCCCAAACCTTAAGAACTCTGGACTCAGTAGCTGCTTTTAAAAAACAACTCAAAGCTCACCTTTTTAAAACTGCTTTTGGTTAATTTCTCCCTGTTTTATATTGTCTGTTTTACCTTTTTATGATTTGTTATCTTATGTGCAGCAATTTGTGATTCTGTTTTGAAAGGTGCTATAAAAATAAAATTGTATTTATTTATTTTTATTTTATGTTAAGTAAAGATTAAGTAAAACACAAGATATTTACCAACAAATTCAATATAAGACTCTAGTCCCACAATGAAAAACTTCTTTCAAAACAAACAGATTTCAGCATTATTTAAAATGTAATAAATACACTGACACCATATTAAAGTCTAACCTCTAGAGGAGAGTCTGGTTCATCCAGGATGCTCTTTTCACTCTGTATCCGCTGCATCGTTCCTGTAGAACTGGGGTCCATTATCAGCACGTTCTGACTACCAGCTCTGCCGAACTTACAGTCACTCTTTCTGGAGTCAGTCGTCCTGCACACCTCGTAATTGTACACATGTGGCAGAGTCCCTGTCCCCAAAGTGTCTGAGTAACGTGGTGGATAATATGGAATGACAGGCAGGTTGGAGTGATACAGGATGCGAGACTGTCTCCACCTGTAGATTTTGACTGATATAATAACCACTAAACACGTGATGAAGAGGAAGGAAACTACAGCCAGAGCCAAGACTAAGTAAAAAGTCAGGTTGTCATTGTACTCCTTGTCGTGGGTCAACTCAGTGAACTCCGACAGCACTTCAGGGAAGCTGTCCGCCACCGCCACGTTAACAACGACTGTAGCTGAACGAGAGGGCTGCCCGTTGTCCTCCACTATAACAGTCAGTCTTTGTTTGACAGCATCTTTATCAGTGACTTGGCGGATAGTTCTGATTTCTCCATTCTGTAAGCCCACTTCAAACAGCGCCCTGTCTGTGGCTTTCTGCAGTTTATAGGAGAGCCAGGCATTCTGTCCAGAGTCCACATCAACAGCCACCACTTTAGTCACCAGATAGCCCACATCTGCTGAACGAGGCACCATTTCAGCCACCAGAGAGCCACCAGTCTGGACTGGGTACAGAACCTGAGGGGGGTTGTCGTTCTGGTCCTGGATCATTATTTTCACAGTCACGTTGCTGCTGAGTGGAGGAGAGCCTCCATCCTGCGCTTTTACGCGGAAGTGGAAATCTTTGATCTGCTCGTAGTCAAAAGAGCGCACTGCATGGATGACTCCACTATCAGCACTAACGGACACATATGAGGAGACTGGCACTCCGTTAACGGAGGAGTCCTCCAGTATGTAAGAAACACGGGCATTCTGGTTCCAGTCAGCGTCTGTGGCTTTGACTGTGAATATAGAAAGACCTGGTGTGTTGTTTTCTACAATGTAGGCCTCATATGAGCTCCTCTCAAAGACAGGTGCGTTATCATTAACGTCTGAGATCTGTAAGGTGAGAGTGACACTGCTGGAGAGGGAGGGCACTCCCTCATCAGAGCAGGTTACAGTGATGTTGTACTCAGAGGCTCTCTCTCTGTCTAAATCACTGTCTGTTAGTATACTGAAAAAGTTATTTGATGTGGAAGAAACTAAAAATGGAATATTCTTGTTAATATTACATTGAACGTTTCCATTTTCACCTGAGTCTGGATCTTGGATATTTATGATTGTCACAACAGTGCCAGGTGTAATATCTTCTGCTATTATGCTAGACTTTGACATGACATTTATAGCAGGTACATTATCATTTGTATCAAGTATTTCTACAACAATTTTACTGGTATCGGCCAATCCTCCTTCATCACTGGCTTGAACATGTATTTGATATTGTCGCTTCTTTTCAAAGTCGGTGTTTCCAACCAGTGTAATTTCACCAGTTTCTCGGTTCACGTCAAATTTTTCCGAAGCATCGTCCACGGAGTTTAATATTGTATATGATATCTTTCCATTGGATCCGTCGTCTAAATCAGAAGCACTAACTGTAATCAGAACAGTTCCTTCGGGCGAATTTTCTTTTAAGGTTGACTTGTATATTTTTTGAGGAAAAACTGGAGCATTATCATTACTATCAAGCACATTTACGTTTATCTGAACTGCTCCGGAGAGCTGCGGTTCACCGCCGTCTACTGCAGTCAAAACAAGCGACAAATGATCCTGTTTTTCTCGATCTAAAGGTTTCTGCAAAACCATT